TGCCTTCCAGGTCGATAAGTGATAACAAAATCGAATCTAGATAGCGACATATTCCACCGAGCTTGACGCCGATTTAAAACTCGAGCCGTCATGAAATACTCCAAATTCTTGTGATCCGTATATACGGTTACTAGATATGCAGCTCCTTCAAGAAAGTGACGCCATTCTTTGAAAGAATCCACTATAGCAAGATGTTTCTTATCGTGGATCTCATAATTGATTTCAGCAGCAGAAAACTTCCGAGAATAGAATGCAACTGGATGGAGCTTCTTATCTTCACTCATTTGTGAAAGCACAGCTCCCAAAGCAAAATCTGAAGCATCAATTTCTAAATAGAAGGCCTTTGTAAAGTCTGGATGTACCAAAATTGGAGCTGTAGTAAATGATGTCTTCAAATCTTGAAACGCCTTCTCCGCCAAAGGTCCCCATTCCAACTTATCCTTGCATGTTAATCGAGTGAGAGGAGCAGCAACTTGAGAATAATTCTTGATGAAGATCCGATAGAAGTTAGCAAAACCAAGAAAGCATTGTACGTCTCTAACCGTCTTCGGAACCTCCCAAGACATGATTGCTTCTACTTTCTTGGGATCCATCTTCAAACCTTCTATAGTCGCAATGAACCCCAAAAATTCCATCTCCGTCTAGTGAAATAAACACTTTTCTAATTTGGCATATAGTCCTCGCTTGCGTAGTTTCTCCAAGACCAAACGAACATGCTCCTCATGCTCTTCCTCGTTTTTAGAGAATATTAGAATATCGTCTAAATAGATGACAACAAAATCATCGAGGTGTTCTCGAAAGATGTCATTCATCATATGTTGGAAAACCGCTGGAGCATTGGTAAGACCAAAAGGCATGACATTATATTCGAAATGACCATACCTTGTACGGAATGCTGTCTTCCACTCATCTCCTTCCTTGATTCGTACGAGATTATAAGCTCCCCTTAGATCAATTTTTGTAAAGATCTTTGCACGTCCAAGTTGTTCTAAGAGACTAAAAATCAAGGGTAATGGGTAACGATTTTTCTTTGTTACCTTGTTGAGGCCTCGATAGTCCACACACATCCGTAATGATCCATCTTTCTTCTTCACAAATAAGATGGGTGCTCCAGCTGATGATTTTGAATGACGAATGAAGTTCTTGGCTGGATTCTCGTCGATGTACTTTCGTAACTCTGCCAACTCCGTTTGCGATAGATTGTAGATTGTGCCAAAAGGTGGTTGTGCTCCTTCTTGCAAGTCTATGGCACAATCATATGGTCGGTGTTCCTGTAGTATGTCGGCGTTCTTCTTTTGAAACACGTCTTCAAAATCTTTATATTGCTCCGGTATACTTGCTGTTGAGATCTTCTCCTCGGTAGTTGGAGCCGCATAAATGACAAATGGAGTGCCTTCCTTAGATGACCTTATAAACGCTCTTGCTCCAATGAATAAGGATTTCTTTTTTCGAGGTTTTTTACTAGGTTTTTTCTTGGGTGGTTTTGTGGAAAAAGTCATCTTCCGCAACCTCCAATCTATCAATGGATTATGTTTTTCCAACCAAGAAAGACCAAGAATAATAGGATTTGATGGGGTTCTAATAATATTAAAAATAATATGACTACTATGGTCTTTAAACGTTACTTCTATAGGTTTTGATTTATGGGTGATGCTACCAGACAATAAAGGTTGCCCATCTATGACCTCAACATGAACAGGTTTTGATTTTTGTACTAAAGGGATCTTATGACGCTTTGCAAATTCTTCGTCTAAAAAACAAGCAGATGCTCCTGAGTCTAGTAGTACTAAGGTTCTCAGTTTTTGAGGGCCGATAAACAGAGGGATTGTAAAACAAAGTGCAGGTTGGGCAAAAAGAAAGGAACCTGATTGTTGTTGGGATATTTCATTGTCCAGCCGTACGATTCCTACTGTGGCTGGGCATCCTCGTTTTCCTGAACAAATACTCTCCTAGTCTTGACTATGCCTCGATTTTGCTTTTTTGGGATAATTTTCGACTTTTTGGCCTTCTCCACCGCAATACAAGCATAAATTTTCCTCCATACGTCGTTTTTTTTCTTCTATGGTAAGAGATTTGATACGTACCGCATCAATTTGCATGTCTTCCACCTCTGAATGCGAATTCACACTGCTTGTCGACATAGTTGGAGCATGGCGAATTGTATATTGTCTTGAGTGTTGGTCTTGGCGACGTTGGAATAGGCGATTATTGCACTTCACAGCTTGACTAATGGCTTCATTGAGCATTCGTGGATCAGGAAGAGTTAACAGCAAATCCTTCACATCATCTCTTAAACCCCAATAGAATTGACTCATCAACGCTTCTTCATCTCAATTGATGTCGCATACTAATTGCATGAAATCCGAAGCATAGACTGATGTAGAACGCATCCCTTGTCGTAGCGACCGGATCTTTGTTGTAGCCCATCGAACCTTATTGTGTTCACCAAATGCTTCCGCAAATGCTTCCAAAAAGGTTTCGAAGTTGTTTAATATGGATGATCGTTTCTCAAACAAAGGAGCAAACCATGATAGAGCTTGTCCCGTAAGTAAGGTTCCAACAAGCCCAACACGTGACTCCTCCGTTGGATATCGTTCGGGCTGTAAAACTGTTATCAACCTGATTTGATTGACGAATCCTCGAAACTTGGAACATGTTCCATCAAACTTATCTGGAAGGCTAACTCGAGGCTCCTTATGTTGTAGAACTAGTGGTTCTTGTCGAACCTGAGGTAAAGTTGTTTCTCCAAGTGCCGAAATTTGAGGCTGGTGTAGTTTAGATTGTGCTATCCCAGATACTCCATCATTATGAAGCCTTGCCACCACTCCTTCAATCTCTGCAGTTCTTTGTGATAACGTAGCGAGGGCATTCATAATAGCATCTAACTTAGACTCCGAACTTTCTGTCATACTAGTGTCTTGACCTCCGGCCATTCTAAAAGAAGGACAAAAATGACCGTATAAGAGGCAATATTGGTTTATAGGAGGGTAATCCACAACCTATAAAACGCCTTAAGAATTTCAAGAAGAGGGGTAATCCACTCTCTCCAAGAAGAATAAGACTCCAATATTGTAACAGAAGAAGTATCAGTTTAGAGGAGGGTAATCCGCAACCTCTAAAAAATACTAGTATACCTTCAAGTAGAGGGGTAATCCACACTCTACTAAGAAAGAACTAGCTCTGATATCTCAAGTTAGTGTAGTCTTGACAAACTATCACGGACACAAAATAAAAACTTGAAATCTAACAAGAAGTTCAAGAAGAAGTGGCAGAACTAGATTAAACAGATGAGTACAAGAACAACACCAGAAAGGTGAGCTAGAACTCCAAGAGATGTGTTGTCGAGACTGAAGAACTCTTCAGCCTCGATCCCTATATATACTCCTACTTAGGAAGCTTCTCGAGCTACTTCTATTAACTAGGAAGCTTCTAGAAGGTTCCAGAGACTTCCTTTCTAGAAGCTTCTAGAAATTTCTCTCTAAAAGGTTCCAGAGGCTTCTCTTCTAGAAAGTTCTAAGGAATATGTCCCTAACACTCTACTATCTAAATAGATTGTATAAGTCAATCATCCAAAATCTCATCATCTAAAATTTTCTAAAATATTAATTGTTGCATGCTAAATCTTTTGTTGAAATCAATTAGTTGTCAAATGTTGAATAGAAAAAAAATCCAATTATAAATAAAATATGGGATTCTAAAATATTATAAAAATTTCATGTAAAGTTTAAGCATGCATAGTATTATTTATTTATTTTATTTTTCTCAAATATAATAATGAAGAATGGAATAGATTTTTTTGGTAGCATCTACTTTTTTTTCTTATAAATACTCATATTTATTCAAATAAAATAGATATATTATATTCCAATTGGTTCTATAGAGTAATTTTTTCTTAATTTTTTTAATATTCTATTATATTTAAATAAAACGATAAGAATTACAAAATATTTTTCTAAATGCATAGTTATAGAAAGTTTTTATCTATTATCTTCCAAGTCCATAGAAAGATCTCAGAAGCATAAAAATCACACTATCAGAATTTAAAGATTAGGATAGGTTTTATAAATTAGAAAATAATCTCTCTCTTCTACATTAGTTTTTCAACTTAAATATCAATATGAGGGTATTGAAAAAGATGGTTCATCTTGATTAGACATATTAAGATTAAGTTATATTGAATTGGTACATAATTTAAAAGGTTCAATATAGCTTTCTTTTATTAAAAACAAAAACTCCCATCTTCACAATCTAAATAATTAAGTTGAATGTTTTTTTTTTTTTTTTTTTTTTTTTTTGGGTAAGTTTTTAGATAGTTCCAAAATAAATTAATAAATAAATAAATATCCAAAAACATAAGTAAAAAAAATATAATTTTTTTTCTTTTGCCCAATTGATAAATTTTACATTTAATCCTAATAAAATTAAATTTCAAAATTAACAATTTTTTTAAATTAGTAAGATTTATGGTTTTAAATTCTAGTACATAGAGAGACAATGCTTATATGGCTCACATGGCATGTTAGAGTTGCAATAAATAAATATAAAGAAAGAATCATTCTAAATGATACTCAAAACTATCTTTGCAAGTCTAATCAATAAGATACTATATTATATAAGTTATGGAAAAATTTAGAAGCTCAACGTTTTTGGAATTAGGCTACTTTTTTTTGTTGTAAATTAATCTTTTGTCTTAGAAAATAGAGGCCATAGAAGGCTTTTTCTTTTTGAAAAAAGTATCCTTGTAAAGGCTCTACTTTCTAGATTTAAGAGATAATGCACTATATGATCTTTTTTAAGAGAATTGTGAAAATGGACTATCTCAATTCAATGAAATAAATCCAAGGTATAAAACAATTTCCATACTAGGAAGATGATACAATCTAGTTTAATAGAATACGGCCAAATACTTTACAAAGTCATGTATAAAGCATTTATTAACAGCTTCAAAACAAGAAAAAAATTCATAAGATAATAGCACAAAATTTAGATGGCAGGTCTGGTTAGATTTAAATCCAATATGATAATCAAATGGAATTCAAAGATCCTCCAAAGCAACCTAACAATTCACAATATTATAGAAGAATAGCATAATGGGTTATTTTAGTTATAGTTTGTTGCTCTTGTATATAAGTTCAAAAAAGAAAAGAAAACAAAACAAAACAAAAACAAAACAAGGGTCTGTTCCTCATTTCTGCCACCCGGGCCTCTCAAAGCTTAGGGGGAAATGGGGGTCGATGTTAGCGACCTCAGCGGTAGTAGTTCTTCCCCTTCTCTACGTCGATGTGTGAACTGGCAGGAGTTTACTCCAAAGCTTGGTAGCTGCTCATTCATTTCTATGTAGCATATTTCTACACAACATGCAATTCACGCCAGATTTTACTGAACATTTCAAAGCTCCGACTGCAACTTATACAGTGTAGACAATCAGAACTAGATCAACCTCAACCTAACCAACATACGCTCCAGAAGTCAAGCTTACTTCTCTTGCGACAAAACATCAGCTGGAAACGTTTGAATGTTGCATTTCATGTATTCTCCCAGAGAAACATTAATTAAATTAAAATCATGGAGCAGGAAAGTTGCTATCAATTCCTTCAATCAATCAGCTACGAGACGTGGTATTGTCCTTGCTGATGTTCTGTTCAAGTGATAGGGGAGAGGAGGGAGTAGGAAAATCATAGGCTGATGGTGATTCAGATGTCGTACCCAAAATAAACTTCCTCTTTGTCTTGTACACAAGTAATGCAGGAGAAGGCGCAGCAGAAGGACTGACTAGACCAAAATTATTTCCAGCATTGCCTAAGCTTGGTGCAGCACCCTCCACTCTTCTAAAAACAGGACCTGAGTCTCCAGCATCTGCAAAATCTACTACCGCATTCTTGGATGGATCTCCCACTGACATTGTCACATCCTGATGGACGTCTGCATTTGTACACCGAAGGAGATTCAGTCTTAGAAGCGTGGTTTCGAAGCTGGAATGTTCCATCTCGCCATCGGTAGTATTCAGGAATTTCTTCAATCCCGTCTCAAGCAGGTCGGGCTTACCATGATTGTTGACCCCCTTCCCATTGCAAGAATTCATCAGAGTACTACGGGTTGGAGAACAATTCCCTACATTTTCCCTTCTAGTACAAGCTTTTCCTTTACCACTTCTAATCCCTCGTGCCATGGTACTCTCTTCATTTACATACATGGTCTTGCTTCCTAGATCCATTATCCCACCTTCAGCTAGTGTAAATGGTGCAGGTATGAGGTACTCACTCTCTTGCCAATTCCTTCCTTTACCACGTCCTTTCCTAATTCCCTTCTCTCTATCCCCACCTCCAGGTTTACCTACAATAGCTGAGGTGCTAATTACCCCACCACCCAGAAATTGTTTTGGCGCTAAATTCAAATCAGTAGACAAGTCTGCTATTTTAGCCGAGAGCTTCCGGCAATAGTGACACCTGTATAGAGGTTGTTTCATCGCAGCCATCCAACCCTTAACTCCAAAACCCTTCCGATGTTTGAAACAGTTGAAGCAAAAGCTGCGCGGACATGTTTGACAGCTCAACAGTGTTTTAGTTGAAGGACACCAAACACAATACCGTACTCTTGATGTATTGTCAGCCTTGTTTTGCTCAGCCCAGGCTATAGTACCAAGTACAAGCTGTCGGTTGTATTTGAGTTTCTCACGTTGGACCACCATTTGGCTCATGGTGCGCAGATGCTCCAGCTGCTTCCGCAGCTCCTTGGTCTTCTCCAGCATCTAGCATGAATAAAAATGAAACGCAAGAAACCACAATCCATAAAATTAACCAATCAAGTTATTATTTCTAAAATAACAATAACAACGGCAAATGAATAGCAAAGACGATCCACCTTCTCAGAAGACATTGGTAATAGTTGCTGTGCTGGTGGAACAGGAGGTAGAGAGCCCATCTTCTCACGAGCAGCATTTTCCTCAAAACTTGCATCCTTGTTGAAGATACCCTGGGATTTTGACAATTGCTCCTGCAAGTTTAATACTATCAATTACTGCAGTTATAACCCAAACGTACTGTCCCTGCCTGAAAGGATATTCAAACCTTGCATGTTGCATTATTTGAACTCGAGAATTCCCTCTTTAAAGAAGCAAGACAAGAAATCCAATTTGCAACTTCAAATGCTGTTCAAACACTTACATGCAAACTAGATGAGAACTCCAGACATCTGCATATGGAATTGCGAACTTACGTGGTGTACTTCACGTAGTAGTGAACCGTCATGCTCTGCTCGCTTGGCACGCCAGTACACAAATGCTTCCCGCATAACACGTAGAGGCGCTACACCTGCAAGCATTGCCTCTTCAAGAATTATAAGTTCTTTGACTTCTTTGACAAACCTGTCTTCAGTTAAGCTCCTTAAAATCTGCGAACCCTTGTCCGTCATAGCAGCATCACCAGCCAATTGATCCACTACAGGAAGAAGCTCCTTGCTTTTCTCAGGCTGTAGATCCTCACTGCTTTTGCATTCATGCTGGATAAGCGTGGGTAATGATTCTGAATGTTGATTATGAGCAAGACCTCCGACTTTAAATTTGGTCTTCTTCGGCTTCTGTCCACATTCAACCACATGCGATATAGATTTACACGTCTGAGCTTCGATCTTATCTTTAAAATCTCTTGTTCCGTTAGAAACTTTCTGCTGAGGGTCATCTGAGACTTCATCTTCGGATAATTGAGTGCAAGACTCATCCCTTCTACGTTTCAAAATGAAACGTATACCTCTGAGCCTACATGCATCCTCGATACGCTTCCCGTTGACGCTCATCACACTATCTGTAAAATCAGCAACTTCTGTACTTGAATTTTTGCCCCGCCGGAGTTGCTGTACGAAACTTACATCTTGGTGTGAAATGCTTTGCCTAGGAGAGCCTTCGTGCCTGCAGTCTGTAGAGGAAGCTGTTGAAATGCTGCCACCGGCTGCGCCGGAAGGGGTGGCTTCACTGCTAATACTACAGCTAAACATTAAATTATCCTTAGATGTGGGAGTTGTGCGCGCATGGCGAGGGCAAATGGAACGGACACCTCCCGCTTCCTGATCCGGTTGCCGCAACTGAACAGAAAAGGTGGCAACAGGATGATCATAATTTCAGAGCACGAAGCAAGTGCCTCTCGCAAAACATGTAGTAATTTAGATATTTTATACCTAAACGCCATCAAACGACGAGCTACATCGTAATTGCAAGCAAGACAAACAACAAGAGAACCAAAAAAACGGAAATGAAATGGTTTGGAAAGGGCCAACTCGAATGTAAGTTACAAACAAAGCAGTGTAAGCAAACTTGCCTCTAATAACGCCGCCTGGCTTGCTTTAAAAGAGCTACGGTATGGTGCTCTACAACCCTTAACTGAACAGATGCCCTTATTCATCCCACATAAGCCGCACCGATCTTCTTGTTCGTGAGCCCTTTCCACTACTGCAGTAATACTGTCAATAGGTTCCCTCACATCAGGGTCGACAGATGAAGTTTCATTGGTATGAAGAGCACAAGTGACATGAGCCCACTTCTGAGTGACTACTGTAGGCTTCAAAGCGCCGCCTTTCTTTGGACACAAAGCACAACTGCAGCATCAATAATATCCAGTTAAACGCTTAGAGTCAGATCCGAGCTCATTCCAGCTTGAAGGTGAAAAAGCTCCAATCACAGAGTACTAAAAAAGTGTCTACAGAAATAGGTGATCTCAGAAATGTCATGAAAAGCCACAGAAAAGAATGTAAAAATTAATTGTAATAATTGAAAAAAGTGAAGAAAAAAGAAAAATCTTGAAGTTCACTGTTGGTAATGAATTTATTAGCCACCCTTAGCCAGTCATAGAGCAATACTGAAATTCCCTGACTAAATTGAAAAACGTCCCCATGAAGAATCTGTACAACCACACATACATATGTGAATACGAAACATAAATTCATTATCACGTTGAAGACTCTAATGCATACCTAACACTAGACTGTATTGTGCCATCAGCCACCTCCTCACAATTGCGACAATACCTATATGCAGGTGCAATAACTCGACTCTGGTCATCATGAAGCTTTCCACGGGTGCCAGAGCATGATTGATGGACATGTACAAAGCATTGCTTGCACGTATTCACCTGCAAAAACATATCATGTGCTAATGGCTTGAGGAACAGGACGGATGATCTAGTTACTAGCAGGGTAATTCAAAAATACATTCTGTACAATTGTTTGCTAGTCCAATAGAACCCAAAAAGCAGGAGTAGAAAGATAAGATGATTATCACGCTTGCAACTTAGGGCCAGCTTCATGCTATCGCAAGCCACCACAAGCAAATATTATCTCTACCCTCGTGAAAAATGATTGAAATTTGGGTGAAAAGACATTGAGCAAAACTTTAAGGAATTTCTATTTGGAAATAGATTTCTGTACACATCTTGGGATAAATTTTTCGATAGTCACGTTTGCAGGCCTGTCTGACTTTTAACTTAGGAAGTGGCGCTGGTGAGGGATTCAGTAATTCCTTACACACAAGAAGTGGAAAAGCCTCAATGCACGGCAGCGCTTGGGAACTTCAAAGCACAAACGTGAACCGGACAGGGAAGCAACCTTACCGGCTTATTCTCCTCAACTTTCCCCCCGTTACATATGCAACAGTCGTCACTTGAGTTCAGCAAACGAGGGTCGAAAGATTTCTGTAATGAGCGTTCACTTGGCCTTTTGCTCACAGTATCTACAACAAATTTGCAAGTGTTCTTTTCATTTTCTGAAGCCCATGTGTGAAGTCGTACTGTACTGGCTGGAGAGGCAGGTTCTCTCTCAATGACGTCACCCTGGATTGATGAAGACGCTACAGCCCCTTCCCCGGCAGACCAAGTGTGCCCAGATCGTAATATTGATGGATTCAATACAGGTACATTTTCTGGAACTGTAACACCTAAATTGGCTTGGTTAATACCTGATGGGGAGACGATTCGTAGAGAACCACCAGGTATGGAATGTCCTAGAACATCCGCAGCTGGAATTGGATCCAACTGGGTTGCCTTTCTCTCGAAAAACTCAATGATCTCTTCAAACTTGTCTTCAGAAATCGGCTGCTTTAAGCCAACACTAGCCAGCTGCTTGTTCCATGCATGCAGCCATCGTTCATCTTCATCATCCATGTCATAATCTGACGGCCGCACAGTGTGTGATCGCGCTAAGATCTGCTAATCATCATATATAGAAATATTCTTTTACAAAGATGTTGAAAAAATAGAAGCAGTTAATTGTAGGCCTACATGATAGATAATACAGGTTCACTGATGCTTACGATGCAAATCAGGAAAACAAACCTAAGTTTCTCAATTACGCATCATGAGTACAAAAAATATAAGATGCTTTTGCAACCCAACCTTCCTTCTCGTCTCAACTTCTTGCTGTCTGTTTTCATAGTCAGCAACAACTCGAAAAGATGGAATTGCTATTATGTGTTTCTCCATTTCCCGGCTATTCTTGCGAGGTCTCTTTCCTGCAGTTGGAGATGGTGCACCATTCCCTTCATCTTGATAAGACAGCCAACGCAAGAATGCACCATCATTCGTCTCCTCAAACCCCTGGTAGAATAGAAACATAAGAATCAGTTCATCTCCTGCAGGGTTTGGACCCGCACAGTTGAAAGGGTTCCTTCCAACCAAGCATATCCCCTGCTCTTCTTGATTCAACGTACCTAATAGCATCGCAACCTTCCGGATATCCAAAGCGACTTAAACCATCGTTTTGAAAGTTCATTTTTTAAATTATATCAGTCGAGCTACCATCTTACATTGCTCAGAATAAGAGATAAAAAAAAAAATTATTATTATTGTAGATATAGATCTATGAACTTATCACATGGGTTGTACAACCGAAAACCCATTCATTTACCCAGCGCAAAATTGGCCAACACCCTATCTAGAGGGCAATCTCAGGACAATGAAGGACTACAGAGAATTATAAAACAAACAAGACGTGTACAAAGTATTTTTTTCCTAATAATTCCACGACATACTGAACGTTCAAACCTGTGAATATGAAGAGTTGAGATTGAACATCTGATTTATTTCGTCTTTTAGACATTGTAAGATGATATACCCAGACCCCTGCCATTTGAAACTACAATTCGCAAGTTCGACTCTGCTCTTACCTCGTCGCGACCTTCGATAAAGACGGGGACTCGATGATCTGGATCTATGTGTCGATTGCGCCTGCAGCGATTACCACTATCTTTCTGGGTCTGTAAGGGCCACTTTCTTTCAACTCCTGATACATGAAAGTGAGACTTCCCTTTTCCTTGAAGAGATTTCTCATGATTGTATACTCGTGGCCTGCTCTTTTTCTTCCGATCTAGAACCTGCAGCCATTCTCAATAGAGATGTAGAGCATGAGGATACTAATCAAACTTCACAATAAAAAGTTATGATGGAGAAAAGGTGGGCAGTACATGTACGCCAGATATGTACACGTGCGTGAACACAAAAAACAATAATAACAGCTGTAATAACTACAATTATAATAATATGGAAAATATTGAAAGCTCTACCTCTGTGCCTGCCAACTGATTGTGAACAGCCCTAATCAATTGTGAAGCACATGGCTGTCTTCCGTTCTCTTCAAGGTCATCAAGGTGTCTAATGCGACCCTTGAAATGAATAGAGTCCTCATCCCGAAGATCGTCAAGGTGTCTTTCTTTAAACTTCCTTTCTAGTAGTGACTGTACCTCTCTTCCCGTCTCTTCAGCGACTCCAAATCCTGCTTCAGTAACTTGTATAGTTTCCAGCGAATCTGAAAGAGTAGCATCGTTATCCCGTAAAAATACTTGCCGAAGTCCCTCAGAAATTGCATCAGGATCCATACTTAAGAGCTGGTCACCTGGAACACCAAAATTACCCGATTCTGTTACATCAAGGGCAACCTTTCCAACAGGACCTTCGAATAGACTTTGATTTGTATTTTGTCTGCATGACCTAAAATCAACTAAATTTGATAGAGAAAAATCCTCAGATTCATAACTGGCTTTAGTAAAATCCAAACCTTGCTTCATAACTTGGCATTCTGAGTACGATAGTATTGCCATCTGTGTCTCGGGCATCTTAACTGCACGAATATTAACTATGTGCTGCTCTATTTCCGGATGGTTATCAACATCACTAAAACCTTCAAGTCTCCTCAGCTTGTGTTTCTGTTCTGCTCTCTCATCTGCAAACCTAGAGTGTGCAACTACTATTAGGCTGTTCATGCCGTTACTTTCATTAGAGTGAATGCGTTCTTCAACACGAAGATTTCTATAGACATGCAGTGATGAAGTGGTTAATGTTATTTCCGCATTTTCAACACAACTCTTCTGTGGGCCATTTCCAGAATCTTCACCTTTCAATCGCTGCTCTTCAGATTCAGCATCCTGATCCATAAAACTATCGATCATTTGAACATCACAGAGATCATCCTCTTGTTCTATTAGAACCGCTCCTTTTGTGCCTTTTACATGATTTGGACCCGCTTGCCAGGAAGGCCCTGCAACATCCCCCGCATCTAAAGGTTCAAACCCACCCTCAGCGCAGGCTAATATAACTTCCAAACTTGCAGGAGCAGCATGAGATTCTTCAATCACCACGAGTCCATCAAGAGGCACAGATGAGAAGGACTTTTCTGCTAAGGCGTCCATTTTCAAATCGTCTTTGACATCATGTACAGCTTGACATTTAGAAATGTCCGACTCCTTTTCCAGCATAACATCCTGAACTTTTTTATCCGTCTCTGGTTTCAACAGCAATTTTCCTGCTGAAGAAGTTTGAGCATTGCATGTCTTGTCCTTATGCCCTTTCTCAAACATGGCTTTCACATATTCTGTTTGCTTAAGGTCTGCTTCCAAGGAACATCCAACGGCAGTCCTATCGTCTGTTCGATCGGACCTACCGTCACCTAGAAATGGTGGACTTTCCAAATGCCCTGGAACAAAGCATGGCTCTTTGTCTAAGCTCTGCCCATCCAAAGGTAAAAATAAGGAGAAATTTTCTTCAGTGACATTAGAATTCAATGGGAAAGCTTTTTCCTGTTTAGAAAACAAGCGCTCATCATTAGACATATCTGCTGGTTCTTTAAACACAAGCCCTTGCACAGGAGCATTGCATACCATTAAATCCCTGAACCTTGTGGCGTCAATAGGTTCGATTTCGATAGTTTCCGATACACCATGGGTTCCACACTTCACCTGAGCATCGTACATGTTATCCCTTAATGTCTCTTCGGAATCTCCTATTACATCCCTAAGTTGGTTCCCAACCGCTTGGCAGGAAGACTGCAATGTCGTCCCAAGTCTCATAGAATCCATTTGACCTTCAGCACATAAATTTTTAATCTCCAGACTTTCTAAAGAAGCTTGTGAAATGTCGTCGAACACTGGCCCATGGGAAGGATTGGCTAACGCAGAGTCATTCGGCATGGGGATGAAGTTCAGTTCGTTATTTCTGCCTCTTTCAGGGTAAACCACTGGATCTCCACAAAGCTCTGCATCCATTTCGACCACGATTCTTCGCGCCGGAACATCTTCATCTATTCCTGTCAATGAGGATGTTGACAACGCAGCAGTTTCTGACAAGCCTGTACAATCTTTTTTTAGCAAATTGACTGCCAGCTGTAATTCACGCACAGCAAACTTGCTGGAAGCTTTTTCAGAAAATTGGACGTTCAATATCCTATTGTGGGTAGGCACAGAATTGGGCATCACAACTTCAGCCTGTGAATCGTCTTCTTTTGTTCTTGTGGCCAGTAATGCGGGACCAACGGCAGCATCTGACGAGTCCATAGCATCCCCATTCAATACACTCTCTGCAAATCGTGATTCATGTAAAGCAAGGGCTCGTGATAATTCTTCCAAAAGTTCAAGTTCGGACATCCTCTCGTCAGTACATGGAGAATCAGCCAACAGAAAACTTTCTCGATCCAACACAACTGTCGATGGAACATCCTCTTCTTTACTTCTCTGCTTAGATGATGCTGGGACCACAGCCGCTTCTGATGAGCCCATAGTATCCTTCTCTAAGGGAATGTCTATGAACCGTGATTCATAAACAGCAAACGAGTCAGAGGATTGTATCCGAAGCTGAGCATCTAATACTCCCTTGTAATTACATGTAGAATCAGCCACAAGGGAACTAAATGGTCCCAAAACCTCTGTCTGTGAAGCATTTTCTTCTAATCTTGTGAGCAATGGCGAACCAGGGCGAGCAGAAGTTTTTAACAAGTCACTTTCAGGGATGTTGTTCGGGGATCGGGAGTCATGTACGGCATGGTCTCTGGAGGATTCTTCAAAAAGGCGGAAATCCGATGTTTTCTTATCAATAGAATTTGGAGCAGGCGGTGGAAAATTTACTCTTACTGAAACAGAAGAAAGCAGTGGAGTGGTCTGAGTAAGTAGTGACAAAAACCCGTTTTTTACTTCAACGGATTGTGACAGCAAGTTAACCGATGAAGAATGAGGTTCCGTATTCCCCGCATTTTTGTGCAGAGTTCTCTGGGAGTGGGAACCACCCAATTGAGCTTGCAGAAGTGAAGCGTAGGAGACATGCGGGACGTTGTCACCAACAGTGTCTTTAATTGATGATCCAGAACCATGTGTGCGTGGTGCACTCTTCTGAACTACCCAGGATTCTGGCATCCCCTTACCTGGACGAAGCCTCTTCTCGCGATGAGTTCGCGGAGTTGAGTTTCCTTTACATACAGCATCATTTCTGTCGCCAAAGAGTGCACTCCGAACTGGAGGAGGGCGTTTCTCAGCCAAAAACATGCTATTCTGCGGTTCAACACTTGGTGGTATACCTTGCTTGTCTGGTTCTGCCCTATTCCGTGAGGTAGTACAAGGCCGAACCCTAGACGCACTGATGGCACCTTCTATTAGACTTCTGAACGAGAACATTGGCGGTGCGGAATCATTTCTAGCATTACAGCCCTCCACATTATGACTCGCTAGAACAGCAGGGCACACTTTGTCACTTGTCCTCATGGATTTTAAAAGCGACAGAGGAACCTTATCAATTTTTAACTCCTCAGTCCGCAAAGCTTTTCTTCCCAAACGACCTGCGCCAACACTTTTAGGTACAGTGGTAACCTGAGAGTTGCGTTTCTCCAAACCTGTCGCATCCATTCCTGTGCCTCTGCTGTGTCCAACATCGGATTCTGCGAGGGACCCTGCAGAAGCTCCAGAAGTATCTTCCCTAGAACCACTTGTCGAGTTTTCCAAGAACCGACCTTTTCCTGCAGCAGGATCTGCTTTCACCTCTAACTTTGAACTTGATATTAGATTGCCACCTCCTGGAAGCCCACCCTCGATGCATTTTGATAGCAAATCCTGATAACCAAGTTCACCCATCTTCTCCAGTGTTTGCTTTAATTTCTACACACAATTTTTCAAGACTGTGGAGGAATGGGACCTGTTAAAGGCATCGATCCCTCCACATCGCTAAACTAAACCATTAGTCCCTGCATAACCAGTTCGGCAGTAAACAAATTTAACGATGAACAAATGTTCTCTCAGTCCTGCCCTTACTCATCGATCATAACCAGATTGAACTCCTCTTCACCACATTAGAGTGTAATACCATAATAGACCTCACATTTACCAACTTTACGAATGACACACTGAATGACTACCATCAGAAAAAACATGTGATTGCATCCCCGTTCAGTACCATGCATGGTAGACGAAATCCATAGAAGCAGAAAAATTCAAACTCACTGTCAGCATGGGAAGCCTGCACCTCATCTACGACCTTCCAGAACAACACGTGCCTTAGCTCAAATTAGGGCGAGACATAGACCTCGCAACAATACAATTTGAGTCTTCATTGCTCAAGTAGCCGAACCAACAAGCCGACAAACAAATCATAAATCCAACACCCCCAGCCAAGAATCGTACCAACTTCATTGTCACTCCAAGCTCCTCTTTCATACCGCAGATTCAAGTTAAACTCAAGATCGTGCAACTTTTTCTAGAAGGCATACAATATGACTCCAAATTGAATTGATTGTAAACTCACACGCCCCGCATCCCCCCCCCCCCCGTCGTTCTAGCGCAATAATAATGCCAGCTACTCACCTGTAAAGTGAGAGAAAAGAACAAGAAACCTCCTGCTTTTAAAAAACCTCCATTCAAAAACCCAAGGATTTCTTCCAGCTACCGACCTCTGTACGTAGGGTCAAGAATGTGAGGTAAGCAAACGGCATTACTCACCGCTCTACGGCGCCTAACTAGCCATCACGTTGATTGCACCAGCCCCACTCATCATAAACCAACATTTTCATCTCATGTGTTTCGTTGAATATACGCGATAATAACCTTGACAAAAATTCGAAATCAACAGCTCTCTAACCAAATTTAGTTATCCTCAACACAGAGAGAAAGCTCAATTGACTTTGGAAATCTTCAATGCTTCATCAAGATCCTTGATCACATATGGCCCTGGCACCTGCTAAATATCTCCACAGAAAACCACTCCCCAGGCAGCGAACACACACAAGCCCTCGCCCTCAGAAACCCTTGAATTTCGACCTTCACACCCTGACCCAACACCTTAACCCAGTATGTTCTCCACCATTTCGGAAATCATCTCCGCGCGATTGGTTAAACCGCTACATTCACAACCCAACTTAACCTCCACCACACCCTCAAGTCCAACCCTCATAGCCCAGGAGAAGTTCAGTGCGGCTCCAAAAACTCACAAACCCATCAGTCAAACCCGACTTGTTCGTTACTAATCCTGGCGACAACATCGCTCGCTCCAAATCGTTACGTCCCCAAAAGTTTGCAACCATCCGAAAAACAGACTAAACATGTCCCCAGAACCTGTCATTAGTTTTCGGGGTACCAGGATCGCCTCCTTTGGCAATAATGAGCTCCAAGTCGGTTACCACGACTCCCCAGACAGCGCGAATGACTCGGGGAACACAAAAATAATTTGTCGGGGACACTTGAAAAAGTAGTGTGGCCCAACACGCGATCCCAGCAAAGGGATGCTCCCTGCAATCTTGCGTGCGAGAATCTGTGGCCGCAACTTCTTCGAACATCTCCATGGCATTTCTGGAATTTTCAGAAGTTCTAACGCCGTCCGTAGTCAACTGGTTAGTTTTTCTTTTTCTTTTTCTTTTTTACTCTTTTCTTTTAACTTACTGGTGTTCTAAGGTTTTCTTACACAAAGGAGTGCCGGAGGTTGGCAGTTGTCTTGTTTGTGTTGAGAATGTTTAGAAAGACACAAGAGTAATAGTAAGTCATACACACACACAAGTAGTAGTAAGTCATACACACACACGAGTAGTAGTAAGTCATACACACAAGAGGGTTTCTAAGGAGAGAGAGCTTTACACACACAAATCTATTGATCTGGTTGTGTCTTATATACAAGAAGAGAAAAGAGGAGAGGATAAACAATACTTCTCTACTAGACTCTAAATATTGTAGCTACAGTATTTACTGTAGTCTATAGTAAATATTATGGAGAGTGCCAGCTACATTCAATGATCTCAACACTCCTCCTCGCTCATCATAATATTTATATAATATAAAATTTGTACAGAATTACGATCTATATTTTTCTGTGATCTTGCAAGATCAAGAATTGTTGACTCATTAAAACCTTATCTAAGAAAACCTTATTTTATTTAAGGACAAAACCATAGATGAAGGAAAAAGAGTACAACATCATTTTCTTTAATTATTTAAAGAACTCATTAACTTTCATATTCAAGAAAAGCAAGTCGCCGCATACCAATGCTATAAGTAAGTCGACGATGGTTGCTTAATGGGAGAGCTTTGGTAAAGAGATTAGCAAGGTTATTTGTAGATTCAATTTTCTTAATTATAAGTGCTTGATCAGTAATCAAGTCATGAGTATAACTAAAATACTTTGCATTAATATGCTTTGTCCTGTCACCTTTAATGAAACCAACTTGCATTTGTATAATACAAGCACTATTATCTTCATGCAAGATAGTTGGAGAATGATCATATGAAAATCCAGAAGTTGTTTGAATAAATTTATCAATTGATCGCAACCAAATACATTCTCAAGATGCTTCATGTAAGGCAATAATTTCTGCATGGTTGGATGAAGTTGCAGTTATTGTTTGTTTCACTGATTTTCATGATATTACAACTCCATGTCTTAAAAATACATATCTTGTTTGAGATTTAGCTGTTGCAATATCAGATTTATATCGTGCATCACAATATCCAATTAATTTTAGATCTACAAATTTTGTGTAATATAATCCCAAGTCTTTAGTACTTTTTAAATAACGTAATAAATATTTGATGCCATTCCAATGTCGTAGTTTTGGACGTGTACTATGTCTTACAAGAACATTAACTACAAATATAATATCTAGTCTTGTAGATGTAGCTAAATACAAAAGTACTCCAATCGCTGGGAGGTATGGATATTGGTCTTACAATATTTCCTCCTCCTCCTCGTATGGACGGTATGGATCATGACCATCATGACCACGTCCAACCATTGGTATGGACAATAAATAAGCATCAATCATATTAAATCTTTACAAAATTTGTCTAATATACGTTAGTTGGTAGAGAAAAATGCTACCATCTGTAAGATGCATAATCTAAAGACCAATACAAAAGTTATTTTTCTTAGCATTTTTATCTCAAATTTATGTATAAGTAGGTTTGTAGCTATAACACATGCAGATGTAGTCCCCACTAGGTTAAGATCATTAACATATACAGCGATGATCACAAAACCAATTTTATCTCATTTGATAAACAAATAAGGGATTAGTGGATCATTTATAAAATTATTTGTAATTAAATAATCTAGAAGACGTTGATACCACATTCGTCTAGATTGTTTTAAACCATACAAGGCCTTACATAATTTAATACCACGATTTTGATATTTTCCTAGAACGGATTGATTTGGAGTTCTTGTTTATAAGCCATATGGAACTTTCATATAAATATTTATATCAAGAGAACCGTATAGATATGCAATAACTACATCCATCAGATGCATCTCAAGGGTGGCATGAACTGTCATTCCAATAATATATCGAAATATAATTGAATCCATGATTGGAGAATATGTGGATTTATAATCAATGCCAAATCATTGAGTAAATCCTTGAGCAAGAAGACGAGCTTTATAGCGGATTATTTAGCCTTGAGCATCTTGCTTGCATATTAATATCATTTTATATCTCACGGGGTGAGATGTAAGAGTGTCTACAATTGGACCAAAGACTTTTCTCTTACGCAAAGAGGCATAATCCTCCTAAATAGTAGTTTTTCATTTTGATCAATCTGAGCGACACATCCCTTCTTCAATGGTTTGAGGTTCAGGATCATCTTCCTTGCAAGAAAGGGCTTCTATAATCATATATGCAAATGATTCATCTACCGTAATAGATGGTCTGTCCCAAATATCATTTGTAGCACAATACAGAATAGATAATTCTTTACTCAACTTGTTCTTATTCGTTCCAATTCTAAGATTGTTTTTCATAGGAATTGAAGATACATTATACATGGATATATCATCATGAATTGGTAGTCCTGCAAGATGAGTGGCAATTTCTTGAGAAATAATATCAGAATTAGTTAATTTTATAGCTTTTTTCTTACGTGGTTGCTTATTTGGTCCACGAGTTCTTTTAGTTGTTGTTGTTATAACTTGAGGTATTGTAGTCAATGGCACTACAATCTGAGCAAGTGCATTGTGAGCCTCATTAATAGGAACTCTTGTAATTTTAAGTACATCATTGAAGCCATAAGGTGTTTCATCCGTGATCCGTTTTAAATGTAAAATCTTAGCAACTTCAGTTTCTGCCAAAGATGTCCTAGGATCGGGATTCATTGTAAACGTTTCTGGTGCTTCAAATATGAGTACTTTATTTCTTTGTTGATTGGATACTCTTCCTCGAAGAGATGAAAATATATTTTCTTCAAAACGGCAATTTTACAAATGTGTACGTAATAATGTGCCAGTTGATGGATCAACAATACGAATAATACTTAGTGAATTAAAACCAACATATATGCCTTCTTATAGATGAGCTCCAATGATACGCCGTTGAGGTTCTGGTATTGGAATCCAAGCACGACAATCAAATACTCGTAAGTGAGATATATTTCAAACACGACCCAAAATGAGCTCATGTGGTGAAACGATTTTAAGAAAAGAAGGGCGGAGGCATATTAATATTGCAGCATGTAAAACTGCATGACTCTACATAGATGCAGGTAGATTTGCGTGAAGGAGGAGTGGCTGGGTAATGAGTTGTATATGCTTTATAAATGACTCTACAAGTCCATTTTGAGCATGTTCATATGGAATACAATATGTCAACTCGATTCCTGTTACAGTACAATAGTCTTCAAAAGACTTTGATGCAAATTCTTTTGCATTATCTATACGCAATGTTTTTCTAAGATAATTAGGAAAATATGCCCAAAAGTGAATAAGCATAGATATAAGATTGGCAAATACCATGTTTCGAGTTGATAATAATGAAACATGTGATTGTTTACCTGATGCATCAACAAGGACCAAAAAATAATGAAATGGTCCTAATATTGGATTAATAGGACCACAAATATCACCATGCAATCTTTCAAGCATTGGTGGTAATTCTTGTGGAAGTTTCCAAATTGAAGGCCGAATAATCATTTTACCTTGCACGCATGCATGACATAATTCCATAGACTCTACATGTGCAGGCTTTAAATTATGCCCAATTATACATGGAATGATCTTTCTAAATAATGTGGATCCTGGATGTCCCAATTGTCCATACTAGAGAGAAACACGACTCTCTGAGATAGATGATGCAAAATTAAATATAATGGGAGGCTGAATCACAATTCAGTATAAACTATTTTTTGTAGCAAAAGCTTTTTCAACAACTTTATGGTTCTTCATAAGAACCAAAACTTCTTTTCTATTTAAAGTGGCGGTGGAGAGGTGATAACCATTAATACGCACATCTCGGTAGCTGATCAGACTCCAAAGTGCTGAGGGTGCAAACATCGCATGTTTACATTTTATAATGGAACCCGAAGGTAATTTTACCATCATTGTGCCTTCTTAGAAACAAAACGCATTTACTCCAGCCATGGTCATCATATTTTTAGTTTTCCAAGTTGAAGATTTTTTAATAAAAAATTATCTATCTCTCAAGATAGTATGTATTGTTGCAGAATCAATGAAAGCATCATTTGATTCATCATTAGAGGTTCTATCATTCATATAAGCCTCTAAGTCATCAACACCAATTGAATCCATAGATGCATCCATAGTATGAACTTTACGAGCCTCAGCTCGTAATTTCTTATTTTCTTAGAATATTTTAATAAAATATTTTGAAGTACGGCATGCATGTGCTCAATGTCCAATCATTCTATACTTATGGCAAGAACACATCTTTGATTTTTATTTTCTACTATAATTAATAGTAGAATGTTTATTCTTTCCATATGAATAGAAATGGTCTTGACTATGACTACCCTGATACTTATGAGCACGTTTCTCATGTTTGTATAATTTCTTCTTAGACTTTAAAATATTAAGTGCATGAGATTCTGGGACTATAGTTCCAATAGGACGAGCTTCTGCATTGTGCAAGAGTAGCTCATTTTGCTTCTCCACAAGAAGTAGATAGGACATGAGATCAGAATGACTCTGAAATTTCATGTTCATGTATTGTTGTGCAAGCATAGCAGATACAAGAGAAAATGTAGAGAGAGTTTTCTCAATCATTTCTTCTTCAGAAATGCTTTGTCTATATAATCATAATTGTGAGACAATACTATACATTTCACTATTGAAAGCATTTAAATTTGGAAAATCCAAGATACGTAAATGTATCCAATTATGACGTATATGTGGAAAAAAAATGGTCTTTTGATGATCAAACCTAGATTTAAGATTCTTCCAAAGTTGTGCAAGATCTTTCATTTCCAAATATTGATATTGTAATATAGGTATAAGATGACGACGAAGGAGAAGAAGTACTTTC